ATGTGATTTTCTGGATTTTTTTCCCCATTTTCTCTCTCATAGTTGAGGTATACCTATGATGGAAATTACAGGCCTCTCTCAACTTTTTAAATGGAAGAATTTGCACAATTGGTGGCTGACTAAATACTTTTTTGCCCCACTGTATAATGACAGACATTCTTAAAATTAACTGAGTCCATTGTTCACAGATATCCTTCAATACATCCAATGTTAAAGTATTTTGCTTCATTCTGCATTAGCAAGTCAAATTTAAGTGCTATTTTCCATTAATTGTAATCTTCAGTTCCTTCTGGTTCCCTCTAGTGTCCAACCTTCAAAGTCCAATCTTATTTTTTTTTTTAATTCAAAACATTTTCCCATGGGAAGGATTCTTATAATTAATTTCAGAATCTTATTTCAAATCCATTAGGACCCTTAATCTGTTTGTAACTTTCCAAAATCAACATTCTAATCACCATTTTGCTGTTTATTAAAACATGTTTTTTAAGTCCTTAAATTTATATTTAAAACTTCTTTTGCTAAGCATTGAAGAAGACTTGCCCAATGAATGCTATAAAACTTGTTGCTCCAAAGGTTCTTAATAGTTGAAAAGCAGTTAAAAAGCAATTTCCAAAAGTGATTAACAAATGAGGCTTGGCGAACTTTATGTCCATATAGGCAACATTATGGTTGTGAGCTTGGTTGAAATCCCTCAACTCCCAGCTGCTCGATTCACAAGTTGACCACAAAAGCCTTGGTTCCTGCAGTCTGCTCACAAGTGGATGATCTCATGATCTCTCCTTTCTCCGGAGAGACTTAACCAGCCAGGATCCACCAACTGACTGCCGATCTCTGCTGCAATGTCGTCCCCACTCCTTTGGGGACATCTACTTTACCATGAATCCTCACCAGAAGTCCATATCTCCCATCCTTCCTTCAATATTTGTTTTATTGTTTCTCCTTCCCTTTGTTTTTTCTTTAAAATAGACAAAATCTTTTACTTTGATTTCCATGTTACTTACTTTGAACTTCTGCATGATGACTGTGCTGTCCATTTTTCTGTGGTATATTTAAGCACCATCAAGCTTGTATCTTACATATACAAAAAAGAGATCACCACTAGAGATCTTCACTGCTTGAATAAGTTTTATGTCCACCAAGTTTCTTTGTTTATATAATTTGGATATATATGGAGTCATTTTCCAGTCTTTTATTTGCATATTTCCTGTATGGAACTTCCTTGGTATATCGAAGCCTTCAATGTTCTCTTGTTCTAGAGAACAATGTTCTAGAGAACTTCCAAGTAATATGTCACAAAAGGAAGATACCAGTTGAACTAAAAAAAAAAAAAACTTCTTACCATTAAAATTAATTTGCAGAGAAGTTGGGGTTTAGAAAACTGTACACATGTGGGTGCACATATATGCATTTACAGAAGACAGGAACAAAGTAACTACATTCCATATTTTACTGATCTAGATTTTTGCCGATCATCTTGTATGCATTATTGTTATATCAAAATTAGTAGGTTCACAAAAAAGTTATCCATCTAAAAATGGTCAGAGATTACCTGGCCATGTGTGTGTGTGTGGGGGGGAGAGAATGAAGGGAGAATACAGAATAACAATTCATGCTTCAACATAGACACTACTTTTTCCATATCACAGAGCTTAGAGTTCAGTCTGAGCAACACTTTTTGGGGATGCTAACTCTCTGCTTCGGAGAACGCCAGGAATAGCTCATTACAGGTTCCAGGCAGAGGATTTCCTTTTAGGGTTTCCCTGCCCACCATCATCCCTAGCTCAGCGATGCTATTCTGGGACAGGAGCCTGGAAGTCATTCTATGTAAAACCTAGCCAGAGTGAACCATGGAAGAGAAGATGGATGTACTTACTATGTGGCAGCGTTGAGATTTCTGTAAAAAAGGGGTAAAAATGTATAGAGTGATTAAGAAGCTGAACTTCTTAAACTGGCAATATGTTCTTGGCTTATTCTCTCTTCAGAGTGGATGGGACAAATACCCAAAAGTAGAACATGAATGCAAAAGTGCTTAAAGCACACTTCTATTTTGGGCTTCCCTCCCTTTTGGCAGTAGAGTCTCAGCTTTGCAGCTTTGTAAAACACTCTCAGCTTTTCTCTGGTTTGGTCTCCTGCCCTGTCTTCATTCACCAAATGTGTTTCTTGTTAGATGTCAAAATGATTCAGAAACTATGGCAAAAGTCTTGCTTTTGCAATGCATATGCTTCAAGTATGCATGTTCCCCTCTAATTTGCATATAGTCTCTTTTTAAAAAAAAATATTCCTCTTCTTTGGGAACAAACTACTGCTATATAATTGCAGTACCATATTTGATTTCAAGCCAAACTATTTGACACTACTGAAGGTAACCAGTGTTAATGGCTTCCCAAAACCATAAATCAATATCTTGAGGTGAGAATGTAAGTAGAATTGTTACTAATTCATTTGCAATTTGCTTTTCCTCCACCTCAAATGTCTGATTTGTCATTTTCAGCAACCGTCGCAAAAATCCCAATCTCTCCGGAAGCTTCATATTAAGAAAAACATGAGGGAGCAGGAGAAAGGGGAAGGAAGTGACGGCAAAGAGAACATTAAAACCCGATCCGATGAATCAGGGGAAGAGAAGAATGGAGATGATGACAACCAGAAATCGGCTCAGAAGAAAAAGGGTGAGAAGAGGCTGTCCTGAGATCTTAGCAGATGTGCTGGGATGGCAGCTCTTGGTTTGCCTGTCAGCATTGCCTGTTGATAAAGAGGGCTGTAGTTCCAGTGCATCAAGAGTTCAGACTATACTTCACTGACTGTGTTGGCATTAACATTAAGGAAAACGTTTATTTAGTAATGAGAGGAGGAATCTCCCTCCTCAATTGTTTTGTTTTTTGGGGGGGAAATATACTTTTCTCAGCTTTGGTTGCTAAGAAAACATTAACCCAGGGCAAAGAACATTTCTGTGGTGTATCTTTTATCTTTGCAACAACCTTCTGAAGTAGGTTAGGCTGAAATAAAATGACTGGCTTACAGTCATCCAATAAAAATTCAGGGCTGAAAGAAGATTTGAATCTCTGACAGTAGAACAAAAGAGAAAACATACTAAACTGCATGTGATTAGAGTAGTCTATTCATTCAGGATTCAGCAACAAAAAAGTTCTTTATGTAAACATCAGAAGGAGCAGTCATGATACTGAAGCAATACAATTTGAAGTAGACCTGCTTTACATTCAGGAGAAAAGTTACTCAGATGTTACCTAGAAATCACAAAAATGTCTATTTCTTTGAGGGGGAATTCTCAAAGAAATAACAAATGTTAAATTCAGCACAGAAAAATGTTAACATGCAAAAGTGAAATCTAAAAGCAAAGCTCCTTTCTTTCTGTGTTCTTAAGAACAGTACCAGCACAAAAAGGCTACAGGAAAAATATTTGCATGCATGTGAAAAAGAAATAGAGCAAAGGTAAAGTCTGATAAAAAAAGACGTTGCTTTCCAACATCCTTTTTGTTTTCTAAATGACTCCTTGCCTTCCACTCTTCTGAAAATTTATATTTTTACTGGTGAATGGAAAGTGAACACACTATTTTCCTATACAGGTAGTTCTTGGTTAACAATGGCAATTGGGGCCAGAATTTCCATCACTAAGTGACACGGTCATAAAGCATGACATCACATGATCACATTGCTTAGCAGTGGCAGTTCCGGCAGTTCCCAATTGCCATAGGTGAGGATGTCACATGATCACCATTTGTGACCTGCTGGCTTCCCCATTGACTTTGCTTGTAGGAAGCCATCACAGAAGGTTGCAAATGGTGACCATGGGATGCCGCAATGTTGTAATTGTGAGCTGGGTACTGAGTGCCCAGATCGCAATCGTGACCACAAGGACACTGTGACAGCCGAAACTTTGAGAACCCATTGTAAGTACCACTCGTTCAGTGCCATCGCAAATTCAGTCGCTGAATGAGTGGTTGATAAGTGAGGACCACCTGTAGTGCTGAGAAACAGTTTTCTATTATCTTGAAACAATTAATATACCCTAGAATCTTATCAGGGTATGTTCTAAGTACAGCCTATTAGAAATATATAACTTTGCCATTTTTTTCATGCTGGTCTGTTTTCTTGTAGCTTGGCCAATACCTGTTTACCACTTCAACCATTTAGGTTTTTTCTCATAGTAAGCAAAGGTACAGGACAAAAGAAATCTCTGCTCTCAGAAAAGACATACTCTGAATTGAAGCATGAGGAATATTCTGGTTTAGTCTTTCATTTTAATACATTTCTCTATAGGCACTGCCTTCAGGACCCACAAACTAGAACAGGAATAACAGATCATCTTGTTTCTAGGCCCGCATTCTGATTCTCAAGTTATTCATTGCTGTTCTAGAAGTCTGAAATATTTTGACAGTTTGTGTCAACCATTTTTGAGCTTTTTTCTGAATTACGTTGATTTGGTGTAGAATAATACATTCCTTTGAAGATTAGTCCTAGGCGGTAATTTTTGTATTATAGGCAGCAGACACAAATGGGTACCCCTGCAAATAGATATGAAGTCTGAAGTGCCAAGGGATAAAACCGCTTCTCGTAACAACAGACAGAATGAGCAGCACCGGCACCCTTCCAACAACCGAAGTGAATCAAAAGGTATGAGTTAAATGTCTTTGAAAGCAGTGAAATTTTAAAAAAACAAAACAAAAAAACCTATGTTTAGTGTTGTTTAGATTATCATATCCTTTCATCTTCCCTGTAGACAAGTGACCAAAACATTTCTAGCTTGAAATGGACCACTTTGAGTATTCTGACAAAATAGGTTTCCCCTCCAACAGTGGTGAAAAGTCATTACAGGTAGTCCTCACTTACCAACTGTCTTGTTTAGCAACCATTCAAAGTTATGACGGTTCAAAAAAAAAAGCTTTGTGACCAATCCTTGCATTTATGGCCATCGCAGCATCCTGCAGTCACGTGATCAACATTTGTGAGCTTCACAACCAGCTTCCAACAAGCAGAATTAATGGAGAACGCAGAAATGAAACCACAAGTCGTAGTCACATGATGTCTTGCTTAATGATTGCAGTGATTCACTTAACGACAGAAGTGGAAGTGATGTTGTAAGGCCAGCAGAGTCATGTAATTTTTCACTTAATGGTGGAGTTGCTGGTCCCAATTGTGGTCGGTAAGCAAGGACTACCTGTAGCCAGTAAAATAGCAGGCACAGGATTTTCCCTTGATCCCATTGGCTGAAACTAGTTGAAGGAGGTAGGATTGAGAGAAAGTTGATTAAGCAAATGTTAGAGTCCATTTTGAGACTCTAAGAGCCTGTAAGACTGGCTGATAAGTGAGTTTATTGATGGCGAGAAGTTATAATAACAGTGTTGCTGTCCTTGTGTAGTATGCTTTCTTTTTGCTTTCCAAATGCAAAAGAATGCATTGTGCGGTACATGTACATTACAGATGCTATGCTGTTAACATTTCAGACTGTAGATGCAAAACCTATATTCCTTTCTTTGTTGAGTGTTGTAGACAGATTACCTAATGCAAGTGTACATTTTGCTTATGCATTAAACAGAAACCTTAAGCCAATAGATAGATACTTGAATCTTTATGCTTGTTCTTGCTATTAATGATGATTGTGTGAGAAAAAAAATCCATTGCTGATCAAACAACAACTATTGGTTGTTTGATCAGCTCGGTTCAGTGAGTATTTATGAAGGCCAAGCTGCAAAAGTTTTGCTTAATTGCTGGTTCCATAATTTTCTGTGGGCATTATAAACATGTTTTAACTGGGTTATTTTTTTAAATCATTCCTTTGAACATGGACTCCTACCCCCATCTTTTTAAATAAGTGTGTGGGGGGGGGGTTGTTTCAAATTCCTGTCATTCTGTATTTCAAACAATTGAAATGTTTTGGCTTTTTAGTCTTTTGGAATACAGAACATCAAGATATTTTGAGATTTGTTCTGAGTTTGAGGATGAAAACTTTTCCATTTGATACACCCCTTTACCCATACAATATTCCATGCTCTTGGTTTATAGTATAGTCTGAAAAACTAACCAGTTTGATGGGATATTCCTTTTCATATGGTGAAGTTTCTGCTTTGCGGCTAGCAATGGGAATAATGAATAAAGGATTCGGGATTTTTAATGTTGCTGTGTCTAGTTTATTCTTAGTTAAGCTTCTTTTATCTTTGTATAATAAGGATAGAAGTAGATTGATTCTATCAACCTCCATGATTGTTCAAAGATGCCTGAGCACATCAGTTCACAGTTATTGAGGTGTTTTAATCTCAGGCATATTTTTTTATTCATTTTGTTGCAGGATGGCATTTAGATAACAAGCATGAACGGAACTGGCCTGACCATGATGAAACTTCTAGTGTTAAAAGCGAGGGGGCAACTGTGCGTGGTGCTTTCAGGGGCAGAGGACGTGGTCGGGGACGAGGGAGAGGGAGAGGAAGAGGAGGTACTCGCTGTACGTATAATACATTTATAACCACACTTCCATGTATTGAATGTTGGTGATGCTGCAGATAAAGAACTGGCAAGCAACAAACTTTTTACTTTCACTTTGAATTTCAATAACTGAAGACAGCTGATTTGTTTTTGCTAGACTATGACTGAGTATAGTTGGAATCAATACACTAAGATGAAAGAGTTTGAAATCTTTTCCAGAAATGTTTTTATTGGATTTTAATATCTTTTTTTAGCCAAAGAATAATATTCACAATGCTAGCAATAAAAATAATACACAAAACAGTGTAATGTAAAAGATAAATAATCCCTGTGCAGTAGTGATTAAATATTGGAGCAAGACTGGGGAGACCCAGGTTCAATTCCACTGTCAGCTCTAGAAGCTCACTAGGTGACTTTGGGCTTGTCATGCATTAAATGAAGGGAGATCCCTGTGTAAACTGAGGAGCAAGATATAATAAATAAAATTAACATCAATGTCTATTAATTACAAAAAGAAAGCTAAAAATGATTGATTCTGACGCACTCTTTTGAAAAGTCAAAACAGGTTAGCAATTCTAAAATAAAACTTTCCTATGTTGTGAGGAAGAAAAAGTTTCTTACAGCATCTTAAGATGTGTCAGTTGTTAAAATGCTTCAGGTCTCTGCTGGTTTTACTGCAAACGATTAATATAATTAAAAGTAAAGTGTGCTTCAAGGATAGCATAAGAAAAGACACACTTTAGAAGGACTTTGCAGATCTAGAGTAGTTTCATAATAAGATAGATTGTTCTCCAGATAGCAGGCCTTTAACCCATGACCTCAGAAAACAGTTACGAACTAGATAAGATAGTTTTGTTTGGGTGTGATGTGGCACTAGTTAATAGCTTATCTGCCATGTTTTATACCACTTGACATCTCCAGGTAGGTTTGAATGCACTGCCATATGACCAAGGCATTTGCCATGTGACCAAGGCATGCAGGAATGTTAGCATATACAATTGATTCAGAAGCAGTCATAGTTGGTACACTGAACATAAATGTGCAAATTTGTTTATTATTGCATTTGGGGGTACAGGCATTCAAAGAATAAATCTGATTTTTCAGAGATTTCTCAGAGGGTATGGGGAACACAGCTGGAATAGGCTGAATCTCAGTTCTAGAATTCGACTTTCTGCTGACTAGCAGTGCGTTTGTCATTTTTGGTTCTAAATTCAGCCTCCTTGTTCACACCATTATTGAATTCTGGTAACATCATGAGAATCTACCGTATTCTTGGAATTATGTGACAAGGAACAATAGGACTGAGAATCATATTGGTTACACCTTGCTCCAAGCCTCAGGGTGACCTTTCCCAACACTTTTGTTTAAATGAACAAATTAACTTGGGGGAAAATATAGAACCCTGTAGATCACCATAGGTCAGTGGCTGTGGCATCAAACACTAATCCCCTGCCTGGCTATTATAATTAATCTTGGCTTTGTTTGACCAGTGGAATACAGATTTTGTTTGAGAAGAAGAGGTTTTAAAAAGTATTCTTTTTCCTTCTATAGCTCACTTTGATTATCATTATGGGTATCGGAAATTTGATGCTTCTGATGGCTCACGTACTCAGAAATACACCAGTAATATCACTTATTACTTTGACAACATCAGCAGCACTGAGCTCTACAGTGTTGACCAAGAATTGCTCAAAGACTACATCAAACGACAGATGTATGTATTGGTTTTGGTTTTTAGGAGTAGTTTTTCAACCCTTTAAAAGCCCAGTTAGACATTTGATGTATCAGTTTATTTCTCTGGCAAATTAGCTGATTTTATCAATTAAGGAATTGCCAAATAGTCATTAATTTATATCTTTATCCCTAGATAGCCTGTGCCCCCGCCCCCAAAAAGCCAAAATGACTATTATTGCAGTAGCATCATAGTCTATAATAATATCCCTACTTCTCAAGTTGTTTAGGAGTGGGCAACTGAAAACATTCAAAATAATGGCTGGTCCTTAAAGTGGTGGTGACAGCAGAAAATAAGGTTATGCCCTACAGTCAGTTGAGAATATAGAAGGAAAAATAGGTAATATGTAATACAAGATACATCCTTGGAAATGTATCAGTGTATACAGTGGGGCAAAAAAGTATTTAGTCAGCCACCAATTGTGCAAGTTCTCCCACTTAAAAAGATGAGAGAGGCCTGTAATTTTCATCATAG